ATGTCAGTGGCTTCTATCTCCTCCTTTGGCCAGCCTATTACCCCAGCAGGGTACCTGATCATGGGTAGGGCGTACGTGTTGATGGCCCGGATCTTGTTCTTACCATTCAGCTGACTCCTCAGGACTTGCCTGACCCTCTGCAGGTACTTGGTGGTTGCAGCTTTTCTAGCGGCCTCTTCATGGTTCCCATTTGCCTGCGGGATCCCCAAGTACTTGTAACTGTCCACTATGTCTGCAATGTTGCCTTCTGGTAGTTCAGGAGGCACAGGAACAACAAAACCTCTCAACTAGAGTTCATAAGAAACACAAACATCAAATCATCAGATAATGATAATAATAACCTTAATAATAAACACAAAACGCTGTGTCACCGACACAGCACCATGACACTCTCTGTATTTGCTGTGACTTGGTGTTATTTTTAGAGAGCATGGTGTTCTGTTTTATTTATATGCTGATGACTGTCAAGTCTATTTTCCGCTAAAGCATGGTGGTTCTGTTCAGTCTCTCTTTGATTGTCTCAAAGAGATCAGGTGGATGGCACTAAATTATCTTAATTTTAATGAAAAAAAGACTGAGATCATGCTTTTTAAATCCAGTGCCTCCAGCTGCCTCCCTGCCTTTGACCTTTCTTATTTGGCCCCACATAGAAAATCCAGCATCGCTAAACTAGGTGTGAAAATGGATCCTAGCCTAAAACATGACTCACATATCAATAATGTGTTTAAATCTTCCTTCTTTCAGTTGTCAAAATCTAAAACCCATCCTGTCTAGATGCCACCCAGGGACTCTGATCTATGCATTTATCACCTCTTGTCTGGATTATTATAATTCTCTGTCTTGACTGGAATTAGCCAGGCCTTCCTCTCACATCTACAGCTAGTACAAAATGCTGCTGCACAATTTTTAACTGGTATTAGCAAACGAGATCCCATAACCCCAGTTTTAGTGTCCCATCATTGGCTGCCCATTAATTTTCAAATCCATTTTAAAATTCTTTTATTTGTTTTTAAATCTCTTAATGGTCTTGCCACTTCTTATTTGTCTGAGCTGCCTCACCCTTACATGCTTTGATCAGATGTTATGTTGTTTTTAAAGCAATTTAGAAATAACGTAAAAGTGAATTAAAAAAGAAAGTGAAAGTAATTTGAATAAATCAAACATAGAGCTTCATGTTGGTGTGGGTTAAACTCCTGACTGTGTATTTACAGGTTTTGAATATTTTATATTGTTGTTGTGATTTTTCATCACGCTGTCGCTGTCTGTGGAGTTTCTCCACCTTTATTCTCCTTTTCCTGAGTGACTGCAGCATCACCGGCTGCACAGTGAACCATGGTGGAGGTTACACAGAAGGCAGCAGCCGAGAGGAACGAGCACAGAAAAACTCTTTGATGTGACTTTTTTATTCCATTAGTTTATTAAAGGTTTATTACATGAATTTCCAAAGTGCACAGCAAAAGACCAAAGACAGATAAAACATAAACATGTGATCATGTGTTTCACTGCACTCTGTCCTGTCTGCGTGTGATGTGTTCATGTGACTGAATCAAAGACTAATTACTTTGTACACACAAAAAGTGGACAATAAAGTTGTT